ATGCCCCCCACAGTGCCGGCTCCGGCGGGCTCCACTGTCAGTGCCGGTGCTTCTTCTCATAGCAAGAAAATTCAACTAAACCTCCCACACACACACACACACACACTCACTCACTCACACACACACAGGTACACGGTTCACTCCTCCCCGATAGGTTACTAGGGAGGTGTTCTTGAGTGAGTACAAACAAGTTTGAGCCGCCTTCCTCTCTGAGCCCGTATACCTGTTCTGGGAGTTTCTTTTGGGTGTTTTCTAAAGTTCCCCACCCCCTCTACACCCTTCCTACCTGTTCTTGCTCTCGGTTGCACAAACACACACACTCCTCCTGGCCTAAAAGGTGCAGAGAGTTCAAAAGGGAAATGGCACTGCTTTTCCCAGCCGTGTTTGAACAGCCGCATTCATGGGACGGGGAGGAGACAAACAGTTTTCTGATCAGGTGAGAGGGTAGGTGAGTCTCTCTTCAGAGGCACCGAAGCTCCATCTAATGGTGGAAACAAGACACAGACTGACTGTTCTCCTAATGTTAAAGGAACAGTTCGCCCAAAAATGAAAATTCTGTCATCATTTACTTACTCAAACTCATATTAATTGTATTCTCTGTCATTTAATGAAAGTTAACGGGGACTAAGGCTGTCGAGCACCAAAAAGATGTATAAGAACCATGAAAGTAGTCCATACCACTTGAATTTACACAAATTATCATATAGAATACAAAATTTGTTGTTGTGTCATTTTTAGTGTTATTTACTTATCGCTAAATATTACAATTAAAAGTACAACATAAGTAAAAACTATCAAATAAAATGATATGGTCTACTTATATGATCCGTTTATGGTATTTTTAAAATCATTTTCTTTGTCATACAACATTAGCTAAAAATGCATCTATTATCAAACCGATTAATTCATAAAATGGAGAAAAAGAAAATATAGAATTTAAATTACATGTAAAAAGAAATATAGAATACTTTAGTAAAAAGGGATCATTTTCTGAGCTTTTCACTTCCTTTGTATAGAAATTGAACATTCATGATATTCTGCAAAAGTTGAACATATTTTACATAATATTTTTTCAAAATTAGCTAAAAATGACCATTAACAAACCTATCAATAGATTAAAATGATACTGTATATGAACTATAAAATAACAAAATTTACTATGTGTGTATTTTTGGAGCTGTTCACTTTTATAGTATAGAAAGGAGCTTTCAATGTTTACCTTTCATTTAAGAAAAAAACGCAAACTAATTTGGAATGACATGAGAGAGAGTAAATGATGACTGATCTTTCACTTTTGACTGAACTATCTTTTTAAGGCATGTCAATCACTGTGACCCTTATAAACCCCACAAACTTGCTCTTTCTTGAACTAAAAGTATATCCACTTTTGTCCACCATCTTTCTCCCTCCACATCCTATAATTCTTTGCAGTAGGGATCTGTGGGACGTGTTGTCAGATAAAGAGCTGGATGAGTGTCCTCTTTCTCATGGAACTAATGGAGCCACCGGCAGATAGGGACCGGGCCCACTCTCTGTCACAGTGCACCGGCTTCAACCTACAGCGAGTGGCAGTCTCAAACACAGCCAGGCAGAAAGACTCAAGGGCTCTCAGGGTCTTAACACTGACTCATCTCTCCTTTTATCACTCTCTCTTAAAGACCAGGATGCTGGTGCTGAGTTCAGAGTGCCTGCTGGGGGAAAAAATGACCAGTTCATACACAAACAACTCAAGTGTGATACTTTGAAGCATATGCTGTTTGTGTAATGAATGAGTGACCGCCTTAATATCAGACAGGATGGGCCCAAGAGCTCTTGTGTGTTGATTAAATGTACATGTGTTCAATAGGGAAAGCTCAGCTGGAGAGTATTTGTTGAGTTGTTGTTTTGCGAGGGGTGCTGCACATAAGTGAGCTTGTATGGGCACATGAGGCTGAAAGTAATGAATTTAGTACATTAAAGCCTTTCTAATATGGCTGCCTGCTTCCTTTTATTTCTCAACTGCATAGATACAGTTGCCTGGCAGACCGAGCATTATCTTTCAAAACAATTTAAGGCTCGGCTGGGAATAATGAAGTACTGACAGCAAGCACAACATCAATAATGCCTTTCATGAAGGGTGAAACGAACAACGCAAGGGAACAGAATAGAAACAGAAAAAAAGATTTAAAAAACAGGAGAGAAAGAGAAAGAACAGATAGAACAGAATGATTCTGTAGCAGCATCAACGTAAAGTGATGGCATCAGAAAATACCGTGATACGCTGACATACACTATGGTATGGATGGTAAAATACATACACAAAAATCTAAAAAAGCTGGGCAGCAGGCAGCGTCATCAGCCAGTTATCTCAAAATGAACAAATTCGGGCTGATTAAACAGCCTGGCCAGCATATGGGTCACTACAAATCAAAAATATCACTACAAACAACACAGTATTACTATGGTACATGTCTAATAGCAATAATACAGTGACAGCAAGGTACTTTCAGGTATTTTTGTTAGAATAGAATAGAATAGAATAGAATAGAATAGAAAAGAACAAATGAGCAAAACAAAACATAATTTAATTGCATAGAAATGAACAGAACACAACACAATAAAACAAAAACTAACTGAATAGAGTAAAACAAAACAGAACGAAAAAGAAAAGAACGAAGTAGAACAAAACAAAAACGAACAGAACAAAAGAAATGAACAGAACAAAACAAAACAAAACAAAACAAAATCGAAACCAATAGATAAAAAATAAAAAAGAACAAATCAGACATGAACAGAACAGAAAACAGAACAGAAAATAACAAATGAATAGAGAAGAATAGAAAAGAAAGAAATTACAACATAAAACAGAAATGAAAAGAACAGAAATTAACAGAATGAAACAACAAAACAGAAGAAAACTAAAAGGATAGAACTGATCAGAAATGAACATAAAATAGAAATGAATAACAAAACAGAATAAAAATGAACACACAGAACTGAACACGAAAAGAACAGAATTAAACAATAGAGTGGAAAACAACAATAGAAATGAACAGTGGCCTGTAGCACGAAGCGAGATGAACAAACTCAGAGTTGCAGAGTAAGTTTTGAACTGATAAAACCTGATAAAGCTAACCTGGTTTAGGGTCAGCGGGCTCACAAAGCTCGATATATACATTCTCTGGAGTACGTGCGCCTGAAAGAGTGACACGTGCAGCAAACAGCCAATCACACGAAACATCAGCAAAGCGTCATTTGGATTAATTTCTCACGAGAGTCAGCGCAATTCACTTTCTGCTGAAGATTGAGATGTCGTTATTAAAATTTTAATAAATTTAAATGCATTTACAAGGCACTTTACAAGAAACACTTCTGCTGCAGCAAAAGTTTGGAAGCAGAAAGAAAATATGACTATGCAAAGGAATCAACTGAATTTAATTTTGGATATATATTAAAGCTTCTCTCTCTCGCTCTCTCTCTCAATAATATAATATAAGTATATAAATAAGTAGCTGCAAAAGTCGGGCTAAAATTCTTTGACTGTAAACTGCTTTAATTTGGAGCGAAAGATACGGGGAGTGGTTTCATTGCATCAGATGTCACTTTGCTCACAGCTGATTGGTCCAGTTTGGGTTTGCGATCTCTAGCCCAGAATAAAACCTGCTCCGGAGCAGGGTAGCCATGTAGCGTAAGTTACCATGGTGACGAAACCCGCTCAAAACCAACCCATCTTCTTGAGCCCGAAAACTAAACTAAATTTAAACTAAACGTGAACTTATCTGGGTAAACTGAAACCGGCTTCGTGCTACAGGCCACAGAACAAACAGAATAGAAACTAAAAGAAAAGAAATGCACAGAACCAGAAATTAACAGCAGAACAAAACAAGAAAGCAGAATAAAACAGAAATGAACATAAGAGTAGAAAAAGAGAGCAGAACAGACCGCACAAACTAATACAAATGAGTATGTATATTAGTGTGTGTATACTAGGGATGTAACGATTAACCGCGAGCCGGTTGAAAATTTGTTTATATGAAGATATTTATTTTATTTGTGTTACTTATTTATTTGATTTGGGGCTTGTTTTAAAATTTCAATTTAGTTTTGTTATTTACATTTACATTATATTTAAATTTTGTAATTTAGCAGACGCCTTTATCCAAAGCGATTTACAAATGAGGACAATAGAAGCAATCAAAACCAACAAAAGAGCAGTAATATGCAAGTGCTATATTAGTATATTATTATAGTATTATATTTCAATTTCACAAAGAAATGTGCAGCATTTTGTCCAAGCAATAATAAAAGGACACATTTAATTTATAATTTGTCTTAAATCTAATTTTGTTAAAAAAAAGTATAATAATCGTGAATCGAATCGAATCGTGAAATCAAAACCGTGAATCGAATCGATTCGTGAGTTGAGTGAATCGTTACATCCCTAGTGTATACTAGTATAAAGCACATGCTAACGCATGCCACGGGTGCCGTCAATGCATTAGCATGCCGTGTGAGTGAAGTCGAAAACTATTCCCGGTACTGGTTAAAATGAAGACCCTCTATCATCCTACGAGGGTAGTTTGGCTTCTTTGTGATGTTGGCTTTGATAAAGACATAAAGATTATGATTTAGAGGGCCAGCACTCCGGAGGAAAGGCAATAGAGAGTATCAGGCATCATTATGTGTGGAAAATGGGATGTCTAGAATAAAACATAGAGATTCTGTTCAATTCCCAGTTTGATCAATACACTTCATAATAACGCCTCCCCGCAGCGAGTGACATTACATGAATCAGACAAAGCTTTTTTTGTTTTCTTGGAAGATGACTCTCTCGCAATTTGTAGAAGTGCATTTCTTTAGTCGCATACATTTCTCTCCTCACAACCACATAAGCGGGGGGGAAGCTGAAAATCCAAAGGACAATGGTTTTGTTTTATTTGCCTTTCAGCGTTGTGATAAATTACCTGAGCTCCACAGCCTGTGGAAAATAAGCACTGCTTATGCATATTTGGAGATCTTACCTTTGTCAAGTGAAGAATCTGGAGTTCCGAAGTCCATCAAGCTCGACATGCCTGTCTGGAAAGTGAGATCAGAAACCACTGCCTTCTGCCGGTGGTGAAGCGAAGGATCTGCAAGACAGAAACACAAAAGATTTGATCGCTATGCTTCTCCAAGCTCATTCGTTTCATCAGGGTCCAAGCTAACAGCGAGGTTTGACAATTTTCCCATTGTAAGTGACCGAGGGTGGTGAAGTGCGGGCCTCCAACGACAAAAGCGCGTGGAGTGTGTCGCTGCGTCTCTGGCTCGTGACTCACCGAGCATCTCGCAGCTATTACTGCTCATCTGTAATTAACTCTGAAACAGTGACACGCACCACGCAAAAGCACCACATCCACTCAATGGCTTTTAAAGACAAATAATCACCCCTCTGTCCACGGCCCACGCTGCTGCCGTAATCAATGTGCATTGAAAGTGACAGGTAGCAATTTCATGTACAGTGCAAGGAACAACACACTGGATCATGATTTTTCCTCGGATCAGAAAGGGAAGAGGAAAGCTAACAATGTTTGTCTGATGAGAACGAGAGAGTGCTGAGATTTACAACCACCATCAATCATCATCCTCTGTGCGGTTAACGTGGGCCTTGTGAGTTTCTCTGAAGCCACGAGGGATTTCCGTGTACCTGTGAAAATGAAACAAGGGCAGTGTACCGATCTTTCAACACGAGCATCATAAATAAATGGCTCTTTTGTCATATCACGCACCTTGCATCACCTGACGCCGGCGTGGAGTGTGCCGGTATGTCACTTCCGTGAGGAATTGTGTGCATTGCGTGTCAATTATTACAGGATTTGACAGGAGATATGAAATGGTGCTTGTTATTTTCCACATCATTATGTCAGACAGCGTTCATCCTTCGCCGTTCCCTTTAACAGATACCACCTCAGCACTGCCTGTTCTTTCTCCCCCTCCCTCCCGTGGCTCAGGCTTCACGGCCGGCTGCACACCTGAACTGATGTTGCTAATTGAAGTCTCTTCAAGTGCCCTTTTCCACTCTATCTCTGTATCTGCTTCTGTTACCTGCTTACACTTACACAGCACCTAATGTGACTTATTCTGTTCTTGGACGTGTTACACTGCAAATTCCTCTTTTTCTCCCTCATTCCACAGTGCATTTTATTAGCTATACACGTCCTTCAGACTACGGACCACCAGTGCATAAGAAGATGACAAAGAGACCCCATGTTACGTATAGTATAAAACTTTCATTTTCATTTCAACAAATCTTGACCCTCTAACACTAGTATTTCTATTCTATCTACATGTTTTCTTTTTATTTATTATAAAATAATAATAATAATAATAATAAATTAACCCTTTAACATTTGCTGTCTATATTCTATATCTATTCTACTTTTTATTCATTTTATTTATTATAAAAAAATAATATTTTTTATTGCATTAGAAATATGTTTTTTAGACTTCACAGCACTTACATATTGTTGCACTTTTGTTAGTTTGATTGCTTCTATTGTTCTCATTTGTAAGTCACTTTGGTTAAAAGCATCTGCTAAATGATTAAATGTAAATATAAATGTATCAACGTAACATGCATAAAGTATTATATTAATGTATATACAGGTGCATATCAATAAATTACAATTTGAGTTGAATTACTGAAATAAATGAACTTTTCCACGACATTCTAATTTATTGAGATGCACCTGTATTTGCAAAAATGTACAAAACAAAACAGAAATGAACTAAACAGAACAAAACAAATGAACAAAACTGAAATAAACTGAAATGGACATGATAAAATAATAGAATAAAAGTTCATGTTAATAACAAGTTTTAAAAATATTGACTGTGAGCTATTTCATTACTTGTTGTTATTATGATTACTATTATTATTATTATTATTATTCATTTTAAAATACTATTTTTGTGAAAAATTGTGTGAATGAATGAATGAATGAATGAATGAATCTAGATCTAACCCCAATTTTTCTTTTTCTTTTTTTCCACAACATTTTGTTTGGGATCTAACAAAATTTGTTGTACCCCTTACAGACCCCCTAGTGGTTGCAGACTGACTGTTAAAGATGCCTGAAGTTGAGGGTTCCTACAATCTTGGAAAACCTGAAAATATCAGGAATTTTAAAATTGATTTACATGTCTGGAATGCAATGGAAAATAATACCATTTAAAAAAAGTAAATAAAAACAGAAAAAAAAGAATAAAAACAGACTCGAAAAGTCATGGATTCATTGTTCTAAAAATATGGGAACCCCGTAGCTAAGAGGGGGCCATAAAGAAATATGTTTTCAGCCTGGCTGAGTCGATAATATCCCTGTTGTGTCATGGCATCATTTTCAGGAGTGGGTCAATGGTGATGAATGACTAAAATCACATTTCTGCTTTTTATGTCTGCCCAGTTCTCCAGACGCTTTAGGTTACAAGGTATTGATTAAAAACCTTCATTATGGATTGAAAATGCCCCGTATCTAAGAGGGCCCTTCACAAATCTGTGCTTTGCTGGGTTACTAATGGCATGACAAAGCCAGATGAAAGACTTAATGCATATTAATGACATTGAAATAGGCAGTTTGTTGAAAAACTTTTCAAGTTACAAAATCAAATAATGGTATTTGTGCATGAGTAATTGTACATAATAAGATGCAGCTGTAAAGTGCAGCACATTATTCAAGGCTTAATTCTTTTTGGTGCACAGAGGCTGTTAAATAAATGGAGAGAATGAACCAATCATTACCATAATAGCTACTTGTTTAAATAAAGACTAAACTGGATTTACTGACCCCTAACCTAATGCTCTTCTATTAGTATATAATATGTCTGTATTGACTGAACTACTCTATGGAACTGTGGTCAGACTGAATTACTCTGTGTTTGATCATCTTGAGTAATATTATAGATCTTCCTTTCAGTCTCAAAGTTTAGGAAATTACTCCTAACAATGAAAAGGTCCCTGGACATAGAATACAAGATATTTCTCTTTGGCATTGACCTCTGAGCACATGCTGGCAGATGTGAAAATCATCCACAAATGCTATATGTAATTTGATGTGAATGAAAACTGAGGCTGTTAGAGATACAAGTACTGTCCAATCAATAGGTTGTTCTGTCTTCAGATTCCAAGTCATGTCTAAGGTTTACATTCCATGTAAATAAATAAAGAAATAAACAACTACAAAAAAACCTATATACTGTATGTGTGTGTGTGTGTGTGTGTGAAATAATATTTGTTAAATTTCCTTTTTTTTGTCTTTTTTGTGCTTCATGGCACATAACAATACAACCCATTGATAAATTGATAGACTGTATGTCCAACCCAAAATCTCTGATTTCATTCACATCATGGTGTCCACCCTGATTAAAGTCTTTCCTATTTCCTCAGATTCAACTTGCTAAACCCCTCAGGACTGACTCATTTGAGAGATTTTTTAATGAATCTATTGGAGGCACTCTGCACCCAACCCTGCTGAGATAGTTCATTTCTGAAATATTTCTGTCGCTAAGACCACATAAAAGGACTATTTAGAACAAGGCTTTATAGAGTTCATTTTTCCCTTTTATACCACCAAAGTGCCATCCTCATGTTGCCTTTGGACAATTTAGAGAGTCATTATCATTAAACTTTAACACATTCCAGACATTTCTGAATATCAAGACTGCTTACCCCAGCAATAATTCTGTTTGAATACAGGATCATTAAGCTAAAAACTATTTTTCTGCCCTTTCCTATCACATTAGTGCCACAAAAGCAGCCAAACATAACAAAGATATCAGCTAAAGTGAAATAATACAGTCTGGAGTGTTCAGAAGATCATGTGCAGCAGTACGCTGGCCTTCTCCGTTCTAGATATAAACCTTATATCAGGCCAAAGGTTATGAAAATAATGAAGACAAACCATAAGGACTTATGCTAAACTAGTTAAATACAAAATAAATAAAAAATACCTGCTTGGCCAGGCTGAGAGACCATCTTAAGCTGGTTTCAACGTTTCTTTTTTTAGCAGGAATGAATCTATATGCAACTAATAGACAATTACAGACAAATGCTCTGTCTGCTGGGAGCATTGCTATGAATACTGCTGACTTCTATCTCTCTGGCGTCAGACAAAACCCACACATACACACTACAAAGGTTGATTTTTCCTAGGTGGGCAAGAGGTCAACTTGGCCAGACTTGGAGGCAGCATTTTGTCAATCAGTGTGTCTCTAGGAGCCCCAGCACTTCCTTATTAATGCAATACCTGTCAACACAACATATCACTCAAGACATCTTGACCAGTCACATGCTGACCTAGTTCAAGATACCTCTGTGGAGGGGGAGGGGGAGGGGCTTGTGCCTGATGATGTCATAGTCCATTTCTGGTTGTGTGCCAGGCATTTAAATTCACTTTTAAATAATCGTGAGCAAGAAGATGGATTACTTGTATAGGCCTAGTTTATTTGGATAAAACTAGAGCCGCAATTATCCCCTTCTTCAGCTGTTTGCTGATGCTAAACTCCTTTTGCATTCCATTACGGATGTGGCAGTCTTTGCTTCTCTGTTGAAGCCGCTAGTTAACGAGAAAACACACTGCATTATTAATCATCACTAAGTGGATAGAAGAGTAAAAAGGACCATGAGAAAAGTCATAATAAAAGAATAAATATAAAAACAGTTATTGCATAAAGGTGGGTCTAGATGCTGTAATATATAAGAAATTAGCAGATTCTTATGCACCTATTCCAGCCTATGCATTGCGTCACTGAAACAAGCAAACAGCAGTATCATTTAAAAATCCTTTTAAAATGCTTTATGCAAGGCTTATGCAAATACTGTACATTGGTTGATGGCTTAAAACTCACATAAACGTTTATTGAAAGCAAAGAAAATAGCAATTGTTCTTAATTTTATCCTCCTTACTACATGAAGTATTCACCACAGCATATCCACATGTGAACATTTAATTTGGAGAAAGCCAATTAAATGTGCATTAGTGCCAGAGTGGTTTCAGATTTATAAGTGCTGAAGACCAAGTTTTCCACACTAAATAAATAAAAACATTTTGGGTTTTGCATTCCTGTCTGCATTTGTAAATTTAAACTAAGAGGCTGC